TGGTGATTAGACAATAAATTAATTACAGTTTATTGCTAAAAAAATATACTTTGCTGTACCATTATAGTGGAACTTACATACACCATTAATGAAATATTGATGGAAGAAGAAGTTTTGGGGAGAGAGCAGTGAAACAATGTGGAGCCTCCCGGAGGGTGGCGTCCTACCGTGGCCTAGCGAGTGAGCCGCCAGCACGAAACTTGGCATAGATAGCAAGTGTTTCCTTGCTTCTCTCATGGACAGTTCTATGTTGGATGCTCCAGAGTGGGAACCAGCAACAATCTGTACATACTTGCTGCTTATGGCAAAACCAAAAATGTGGTCTACCCTAATGCACTACAGTGAGACAATGTGGTGCCTCGCAGAGGGTGGCGTCTTACCATGTGTATCCGCACAAGAATCTCGGAAACTACTCTACCGATCTGTAGTGATGATGGATGGTGTTATATGTAGTGATGATGATGGATGCTGTTATATGTAGTGATGATGGATGGTGTTATATGTAGTGATGATGGATGAAGTTATATGTAGTGATGATGTGTTCAGTCCCTAAAACTTTTCACTACAACGGTACAGCAAAGTATATTTTTTTAGCATTAAACTGTTATTATTTTTTGTCTAATAATCACTACATATAACACCACTCATCATCACTACATATAACTTCATCCATCATATATATATATATATATATATATATATATATATATATATATATATATATATATATATATATATATATATATATATATATATATATATATATATATATATATATATATATATATATATATGAAGTAAATCATAGTTGTGATCAGGTATATGATAACCAAGGTAAGAAGAAACGCAAGTTCTGATAATTCATCTTCAGGGTGAGTACAGACTATACTCACCCTATATATATATATATATATATATATATATATATATATATATATATATATATATAACTGTGGTATATATATATATAGGGTTGTGTCATAGGAGGGAAGATCAGCTAAAACTAATGGCCCATCACTTTTTGGTAGATTTTAGTGTATATAAACAGAAAATAATTTCAGTTTCAATATTTTGCAACCTTTTGCTAGGTAAATTTTAGCGTGAAATTTATCGAAAATCTAACGTACAGCTGCATTAGTGCATTACAATTAAATAGTGAACATTGCTTTCTGACTTCATTCTTTAACAACCCAACTAACAATATTTTTTCTGTTTCAGATTCTGATGCATTTATAAGTTGATAATATTTGCGATGGCTGCTTGTGTCAGGACGAGGAACCAAAAATCCAGCCATCTCAGTCACTATCTTGGGTCTGGGAGAGAGCTCCTGAAGTCGGAGTTGCCTACATTGAGAGATGCTTTTGAGATACGGTGTTTTAATCAGGCAAATCAATGAAAAGAACCAAAGAACTTACACAAACAAAGACATTGCCAGTGATATGACCAAAGCTGTCTTGGCACAGTACACTCTGGCTAACGCTCAGTTCAAGCCTCCAGTCATAACAAGTCAGAAGAAGATTAGTGAGAGACTGCTAGCCAGTTGGGAAAAGGCAAGAGATATCTCTCTTGGGAGAGGAAAACTTGCAGTTAAGTACAGCTTTGCCAAGCAACTGGATCAGTTATTTGACATAATTACTTGCAAGTGCCCAATTGTTCTCTGTCCTGAGTTTGGATGCGATCGTGACTGTAAATCCGAGGCCCACATCTCCTGTATTTGCCAGCGTGAACTGAAGATTCCTGTGATCGAACTGGCATTTGTCAAAGCACAGAGAGAGAAGACTGGCAGTATAGGGGCTCTCATGATTTCTAGCCAAGATATTCCGGAGTCCAAGAGACAGGAGGCTGCCACAGAGAGACAGAAGAGGAGAAGAGTTGCCGAGGAAAAGAGACTTGAGAAGGCCCAGGGTGAGGTAAAAATGGCCGATGATTGGAGTCAAGCTGATTCAGAGTTTAATGACTTCCCCATGGCTGATCCGAGTGCTCACCAGGAGAATGGTGACTTTGTCCCTAACCCAGAAAATAATGATCCCAAACCTTCCAGGCATAAGATTCGAAATAGGAAAGATATCCCGAGCATAGCTCTAGCCAGCATGCGACACCACACTGGTCTCAGAGAAACTGCAGAGATAGCAACAGCTGCCTGGATTGACGGTGGTTTGATAACACCTGATGATGTTCACCTGGTGATAGATCATAACAAAGTATGGAGAGCTCAGGAGAAACTTGTCAGTAACCTAGAAGAGGAGTTTGATAAGGGGATAAGAGAAAATGGAATCAATTGTTTGTTCTTTGATGGGAGAAGGGATGACACTAAAGTGTCTGAGGTTGGAGATTTGCGACAAGTTGTTCCCTGCCATGGTGAGAGGAGAACACTCTCCTGCTGCGATGAACCGGAGGTATTTGTAATATCCTCCAGAGAAGATGATAAAAAGAAACCAGCTGGGAATGGTGGCAGATGGTGGCCAGACTGGCTCAGAGAAGGCATAGACCAGACCCTGCAGGCCATTGGAGGGACAGCACCAGCACCTGAACACAGAAGATTGTGGGGGGGGGTCATACAGTGGATAGAGCGGAAGATTGGGGGAGGAAGCTGGTCACCGGATTGTTTGTGAGCCTCCCACACCAACGAGTTGCCCTCCAGACATCTGATCCAGGGCTGGTGTAAGACTCTTTCAAACAACGAATGGTCTGGTCCTCTCTTGGCAAGATGCTGGACTCTGCCACTGAGTTAGAAATAAATCCGAGCAGAAAAAATCACAGTTGGCCCTCCACTCGTTGAGCTTGCACATACTGTCATTGACGACCTGAGTACTGACCAGTACTATGGTTACATGATTTGCAGTGCCATCAAAACTGGGGTCATGCCTGATAGACCTGCTTACCTGCAGATAGGTCCAGTCTCACATTCTAGGTGGCTCACAACGGCTCTCAGGTTCTGCAGAATTTGGGTCGCTCATCATAAACTGAAAGGGAACCAACTTCACAACCTGAGACTTATTGTCCAATTCATCGTGAGTGTCACTTACTTGGTGGGTTCAACACAGAGTCAAGTCATCGTTCTCCGAAGGTCCGAGGCATGTTCTCTTTGCAGCTTGAGCTCCTGAGGGGAACCAGCCAAGGAAGGTTGTTCAGATTGTGGAGCAGACTGTGAGGAGATCTTCCTGGTATGCTCATCCCGAGGCAGTTCTGCAGACAATGCTCTGCAGTAAGAATGAGGAGGAGAGAAGAGTGGCAGTCAAAAAGATCTTGGATATGAGACTTATGAGAGGATCTGGGCATGACGAATCAGTTGGTGACGATTCCTTCAGGGTCAGGAAGACTCCTGAAGTCAATCTAGGTGTCAAGACCCTCACTGATCTCATAGATCTGGATAACATCCAGGCTGGCAGTGAGCCCCCTCTTACCTGCAGCCTCACCAATGTTCAAGTCAGAGCTTTCCTGGACAACCCCATGCATGTCCTGCCTGGCCCCTCGCACACCCAGAGTATAGGCGTTGTGTGCAAGCAAGTGAAGCATTGCGCAATGATCCTGTCATGTAGGAAGGGAGGAAAGGTTACATCCAGGCTCAGGTGGTCAGCAAGGAGGTGATGAGTAGAAACAAGAAGCAAGAAAAGACATGACTATGGTGTGCAGCAACACCGGGGTGTATGCAATAAACCGGTTTTATGCATTTGTTGATGATTTTGTTTTCCTAAAAGGAATATTAGAGGTAATAAACATGTATTAAAGATCATTTTAGATTTCACTATTCTGGATGTTTTCATCTAATAAATTAACCTGATACATTTACTTTACTTTAAATAAGCTATTTAGTGGTGTTGGTAAAAGGGTGGGAATACTGAATTTTCATAAGATGTCAAGTTAAAATTTACCTAGCAAAAAATAAAAACTTTTCAAATCTGAAGATCTCACATGATTCTGCACATAGAACTACATCATTAATACCATGGGCCGATTTTCCAAACTCAAAAAAAAAAAATTCGCCTCCGTATGACACACCCTAATATATATATATATATATATATATATATATATATATATATATATATATATATATATATATATATATATATATATATATATATATATATATATATATATATATATATATATATATATAATTGGAAAAGGGAATTTTATTCTCACTTGACTTGGGGTGTATTAGTGGATGGTAAATGCAGTGGAAGCGCCCCTTGGAGAAAAAACCCGAACCAGCACAGACACACTTAAATTATTAGAAAAAATTAATTCTCCGTGACCTGTGGAAGGATAGCACCTATGATTGCGGTGAATGAGACACACTGTAAAATTTAGACACTTATATTCCCTCCAACACTACAGACACAATCAATAATGGTACACCAACATATGTGCACCTCTTAGCCTGCTTAAAACACTACACTGGGGAACAAAAGTTATACATGATATTGAAATTATTAGAAAGTTAGAAAATGCCTCATTAGACAACAATAAATTCAAGGTATTAAGAAATGTTGCTTGCGCACATGAACAGGCCTTAAAGGTTTTCAACAAAATGATATCAATCACTGAGAAAATGGTATAGAAAATAAGAAATTATTAACTGCACCATGAATAGACCTTAAGCGCAATCAACAAAATAATGATACACCAACAGAAGCACACCTCTTAACCTGGCTTAAGAAACTACAATGGGGAACAAAAGTTATACATGATATTGAAATTATAAAGAAATATTAAATGCATTAAAAGAACTAATTCAACATTATTACTTACAACAGAAAGGATGACCCTCATCTGAAAAACAGTTCCCTCGTTATCTGACATCAATTAGTGGCACATAAACATTAGAAAACAATACCATCAAGCACTGGGGAAATGGCATGAAACATTAAGAGATTATTAACTCTACCAATACCCGTGAAAACATGCTCCTTAACCTCACACATTGGTTCCGCATGCACCCGTATTTTTCTTAAGGCACAAACAAGCCTTCACAACCTTGGAGAATGTTCCTCTAAGTACCCACTAGACTCCTGGTCTCAGTGTGTGACCATTCATTCATTCAGCTAGCCTCATTTTACTCTCAGTACATCCATAAAACGGAAGGGAGTGGGCCAATCAGACCTTGTTCAGTTGAGGGGAGCTCTAGCTTCCCATTAGTAAAAGGTTTTCACTAAACTGCTTGAAGATATGTGGTATTGTGAGCCGAGGTGGAGGAGATTTGGTGACCCCAAACGATCATCAAACGGTGACAGACGATGGTCCCACGTCGTTAATTTTGCACAACAGACAGCTGGTTTCACTCCAACCCTCAAACTGCTCACTCAACCGAGTGGGCTCAACTTAAACTGAGTGGACGCATTCAGAACGTGTGGTTGTTCAGACATGGACGCGTTGGCTCTACAGAAACCCTGCAACAAACCCTCTATTAGCTAATGTTAACTCCTCCTTAAGACTTATAACACCGTCACTCATTCATTGTTTGTTCCTACCGCCCTATCTAAGCTCTGAGAGATCGAATAAAACTTACTTGTTAACTGATGTCTTAACCAAGGGACCAGATCACGTGACCGTTTTTCATGGCCAACACAGGGGTGGTTCGCAGGGGCGGTCCGGTCTGTTTGACAGCTCAAACGCGACTCCCAGACGCGCGCTCCTACAAGGTCTCTATCTTGGCCGTGACTTATTTACCGCACAACTAACAGCTTAATTAGGGCTTACGCAACATTTTCAGACTGGGAAACGATCTATAATAACATTTAATTTAATAACTGTCATTTAATTTCATAATTCACTTGCAAATTAAGTCTCCAGAGTATACTTAATATTATATATATTACATAGGCACAGTTCCCGAGACTCTCACTACGTGTGCCAGAGCACCACCATCACTCAGACGACCTTGAAAGACTCAGTATCGCCATTATTGGTAACTGCGTCTTTAAATATCACACTGAAATTTCTGAATATATATATATATATATATATATATATATATATATATATATATATATATATATATATATATATATATATATTTTATATATATATATATATATATATATATATATATATATATATATATATATATATATATATATATATAGGACAGTGTATGTAAGTTCCACCATGTTTTTCACTACAACGGGACAGCAAAGTATGTTTTTTTGGCATTAAACTGTTATTATTTTATTGTCTAATCATCACTACATATAACACCACCCATCATCACTACATATAACACCATCCGTCATCACTACATATAACAATATCAATCATCATCACATATAACACCATTCATCATCACTACATATAACACCATCCATCATCACTACAGATCGGTAAAGTAGTTTCCGAGATTCTCGTGAGGACACACAAATAAATAAACAAACAGACAGACTTCTTTGTTTTATATACATATACATATATATATATATATATATATATATATATATATATATATATATATATATATATATATATATATATATATATATATATATATATATATATATATATATATATATATATATATATATACAATCAACCCACGGCCCACTAGCCCATGACTGTGACCGGGGAATGCTAACCGCTGGACCACCAGGATACTAAAAGCAGTCTTAGACTTTGTTATATTTCACACAAAGCCTGTTTAACGAGCTTATGGCGCCGTGAACCTCTAATGGGGACTAGCCGTATCACGTAGGTGGTCAGAGTAACGTTTTACCAAATCCGGCTTCGAAACACGAGGATCCATATATATTTCACAGTCATGGGCTAGTGGGCCGTGGGTTTGAATCCTGGCGGGTTGAGGTGTTGATTGTATGTATAAGTCTGCGTGCTATTGGGCTAATTAAACATACCGAAGCATTCAACATGAATTTGAGTAATGGCATGTACAAACTGGACAATTTTGTAATTAAGAAGATTTGTAACCAGGTGAGAAGGTTGGGTCACCTTACCCTCTGACGTAACTACCGACCGTTGCGGTGCTATTTAAAAATTAGTAGGGTCATTACCTAATACCTGACCATTGTGGGCCTGATCTCACCCTCCTCTGTATATATACACCTTGTTTTATACTTCTTAGTCTGTACTCACCCCTGAAGATGTGAATTACACGAAAGCGCTTGGGAACTTCGTGTTTTCTTCTTTCCTTGTGGTTATCAGCATATACCTACCTGTAGATCACGCACACCTACAGTGATTTACTTGCATATATATAAATATATATATATATATATATATATATATATATATATATATATATATATATATATATATATATATATATATATATATATATATATATATATATATATATATATATATATATATATATATATATATATATATATATACATATAAAATATATAATAATAATAATAGTTGTTGAAGTTTTATTGAAAGAGCATAGCTGGAAGGCTGAAAATATACATTTATATAATTGAGAATGGGTCTCTTGATTTTACAAATAACACTGCTTACCATAGTTTTTTGAGTTTGTGTGTATAGACCTGGGTGTATTTTGCATGCTGATCAAAAATATTATCATTTAATCAGATCAGAAATTACGTGCTATAAGCATTTAAGCGGAGATTCAGGTAAAATATGAGCATTTTCCAGCTCAAAATGGGGTCCTCATATTCGTTCATTAAAAATCATCCAGAGACATTGCTTAAACCTCACAGAAAGAAAAATTTCAGTCAGTTTTAACTCACCCGCCCACGTGCAAAATACACCCACGTGCTCACCGGCCATATAAATGTATACGCCGTGACGCAAGAAAGAGTATATGTCGTGTTTTTGCACATATATTTTCACAATTAAATTTCTTTTTCATCTGGTGGTACTGGCATGTACTAGCAACCACCCCGATGTGTGCCTCTAAAGTCTAGACCCTCAGTCAGTCTCTCCGAGACTTCAAGAAAGTGGAGTGTATTGCGTCTCTCTCTCTCTCTCTCTCTCTCTCTTACACACACACATATTTCGTCATACACACACCTGTTTTTCTTCTTACAGAGAGTTGTACATTTATCCTTGAATCAGAAGTGCAATTGAGTTTGCTATATTATTTTGATTTGTGTAACAATGACAGACCTACAGTGCACCATTACTCCCCTAGTGAAAAATTTATATCATGCATACTTTGGAATGAAACTTGGAGACCAAGATAAAGCTTTTGCCCCCTCACATGTGCTGCAAAACATGTGTTGAAAATCTGCGGCGCTGGAGCAACAAGAAGATTCAACGTCTACCATTTGGCATTCCTATGGTATGAAGGGAAGGCAGAGATCATACCACGGACTGTTACTTCTGCATGACAAACCTTCAGGGTGAGTTATACTAATACATCAATACTAATATATCAAATGCAGTATGTTCATGCAAGTTTAAATATATCTGTAAGTTAATATGTTATGCTATCTTGATACTAAATCTTTCGTTCACATTTCAGGTATAAACAGGAAGAACAAACATCATGTTAAGTATCCAGATGTACCCTCAGCCATCAAACCAGTTCCTCACGGACCAGGAATACCAATTCCAACTCCACCAGAAAACTATAGGGACATGATACTCGATGACGATCATGATATCGATGAAGACATAGAAGAGACTGACGCTTCTAGTATATACTTGCCCACAGCTTCTGCAAAAGAGCCCATACCCTTCAGTCAAGCTGAGTTGAATGATTTAACAAGAGACTTGTGCTTGTCTAAGGAGTCAGCTCAACTACTAGGATCACGGCTTTGCGAACACAATGTCTTAGCACCAGGAACAACATTTGCCTGGTACCGTAACCGTGACAAGGAATTTCGCAAGTTCTTCAGTTTTGACAAGGAAACTTCATTGGTGTATTACAACAATATCAGTGGACTCATTGCAGCTATGGGAATATCATACAATATATCAGAGTGGCGGCTCTTCATTGACTCATCAAAAAGAAGCTTGAAAGCTGTGTTGTTGTTCAATGGAAACCAGGTCGCGTCTGTTCCGGTGGGGCATTCAGTGCAGATGGATGAGAACTACAACAACATGGAGTATCTGTTAACTGCTCTGAAGTATAAAGACCACAATTGGAAGATCTGTGGAAACTTGAAGGTAATTTAATACACCAAAAACAGTTGCTTTCAAAAATTGATATTTTGTTGACAGTTTTTCTAATAGGTAATTATGTCTGCCGACATACTGTCATATTATGAAGTGTTAATATTTTTTAATAATAAAACTATTCAGCTAAACATATTTTTAATCTGTTTTTTCCACAGGTTGTGTCCATGGTGCTGGGCCTACAAGGTGGTTACACCAAGTTTCCATGTTTCCTCTGTCTGTGGGATAGTCGAGCAGACAAGCAGCACTACATGCAATGTGACTGGCCTGCAAGAAGTGGACTTACTCCAGGTTCTCACAATGTTGTTGCCCATGCTCTGGTGAATCCGCAGAACATTCTTCTTCCGCCACTGCACATCAAGCTCGGTCTGTTCAAAAACTTTGTAAAGGCACTGGACAAAAAAAGCCAGGCTTTCAATTTTCTGAAAGAAAAATTTCCAAAAGTCAGTGAGGCAAGGCTGAATGCAAGAATTTTTTATGGCCCTCAGATCAGAGAGCTTTTCAAAGATCCCAAGTTTGATTGCAGCATGGTTGTAAATGAAAAGAAAGCCTGGCATGCCTTTAAGTCTATTGTCTCCAATTTTCTTGGCAACTACAGAAGTCCAGAGTATGGACGAGTTGTTGAGGACCTACTTCTGAGCTACAAAGTTCTTGGTGCACGCATGTCCATCAAGATGCACTTCCTCAGCTCCCACTTGGACTACTCTCCAGAGAACTGTGGTGATGTGAGTGAGGAACAAGGAGAACGCTTCCATCAAGATATCCGTGTAATGGAGGAGTGGTACCAGGGTCGCTGGGATATCTACATGCTCGCCGACTACTGTTGGTGTCTGAAACGGGACGCCCCAGACACCAACCACTAAAGAAATTCTCTGCGACAGCCATTTATGCATGTCTAACTGTAAAGGCATCTATGTAGTTGACATATTTTGGTCCTATGTGTTGTGGTTACATTTCTTATGATATATTTTGCATAAAAATTTTGACATCATATTTAAGAATTTCGATTCTTTCCTAATTCCCATAGCATAAAAATCTGACCTGATTGGGCAAAATAAATGGCATTTTTGGAATCAGCACGCAAAATACATAAAGAATCAGCTAAGAAACCCGGCACCTCATGAATTTTTTTTTCAAATGCAGCCCAGTGTAATATACAAGTGACTTAAGTTATACAAATATAGTATATAATAACTAGGTGCGGAGAAGCTCAAGCTACAGGGCATTTCAACATAGTGACAGCACAAAAAAAAGATTGACTGGGAGTGAATACACTGGTTGATAACACGTTATGTGTGTCTTGGCCCGTAACTCTACGGTGCTACTGTGACATTTTTCATCAAAAGAAGGACGTTGATCTTGAGGTCTGATCTAACTAAAGGCAATAGAACTGTACTATGATAGTATGTTGAAATGAATAAATAAAAAAAAAGTGTAGGTAGTTCTTTACAAACATGCACACAAAATATAAAATTAATAATTGTTGTAATCAGTTTATCAAAATGCTTTG